TCCAGCCAGTTGCTACATGGGAAATGTGATTTTGTTACCAGATCTTCCAGTTTTTTAGAGAAGCCAAAATATGGCTTTTTAGATAGAAATTTATCTTAGACGCTGACAACTAATTTCTAAAAACTTTCAAGACCATGTCTATAGCTCTGATTTGACCCACAGCAGCCGTCTTACCTGCTGCAAGTTGCCTGGTACTTGGAGAGGCTAAGTGACTTGGGTTTGTGCTCACAGCACATCCACGGCTTCCATTTCTTGATATCCATGAGGGGTAACTTTTTTGTACACAGCAATAATTATCCAGAAGTTACATTGGCTTTAAAAGTTATATTCATTTCTCAAGGGTACATATTCAAAATCCTAATTCGTAGGTATAAGTTTTCAAGTTCGGCTTACAAACCTTACTATTTTGCTTATAAAACAAAGGAGTCTGATTTAATGTAAGGTTAATATATTTGATTTCCTTAAGTATTTCACTTATCTGACTAAACAAACCTTCCCAAGAACTTCACTATCTCCAATAAATTAATTTATAAAAAGGGCAAATCTTAAGTCATTTAAAATGTTCCAAAATTACACAGAAACATAGCAAGATTTCAGCTTAAAATTCAAGTCTAAATAAATTACTCAACACTCTTTTGTTGGTACAAGGTAAACTGGTTAAACTGAGAGGTAGATTCTCTTTCCACATGTCAAGGATTTAAAATACAAACTGCATAGACTCCTTAGAGCAAACAGTAATGCTGTGGGTTTGATGTTCTAAACATGTCTATCCTTCATTCTAAGGCTTCTAGCTTTAAAAGATGCTTACCTAACAAGGAAACGATTGATGCTGCCCCATGTATTGTGGAGGCTGCCTTCTCAGATGGCTGAAGTTGTAAAACAAGAAACATTGGTGGGACCAATGAATGTTTTCTAAGGGATCCTGAAAGTCCTATTTGTAGCCTCGGAAAGTCCTATAGGATCTCCATTACTTAAAGCAGTGGTCACCAGGCTCAAATCCCTGGGCTTGATGCTCTTCAATACATATTTGTGTTTTCTCACAGAAGTGTGAAACCCCACTTAGGCTGCTATATACCTTGACTGGTGGTGTATTTCTTTTGACTATGAAAATACTTAAAAAGTCTTTCCATCTTGATGATTTGTTTTTCCTTCCTGGGAGGACCACACCTCTTACAGGAATTAAGAGGACAGCTGGTTGGATGCAAAACTTTCATAACTTTGACCTGTAGTCACAATTCCTAAGGTTCCTCTGGCAGACCTCTGGTCTGCTCTCCCTTAGTTCACTGTCCTGCCTCACACTCCACACTGCCCCTCCTTGACTGGCTTTCCCTATAGCACTCGGCACCCACTTTCTTCTTGGAGCTCTCACGTCTCAGCACCACCCTTGCTTTGCCCATCCCCGTGCCGACTAGTTGACCAAAAGACCCCTATTCCATCTCCAGTACTGTCAGGTTCTGCTCCCTGCCCCCCACTCACACTCCTTTAGGTCAACTGATCTCACTCAGAAGAGACGGGAAATCTGCTATTACTTGTGCACATCAAGGCACAAACAACTGGGTACCAATTATTCTAGGTAAACTGGGTGCTTCCTAAGGGGAAAATAAGTGAAATAAAGGGAAGTAACATCTACTGGGCACTTGCCAGGTAGGCACTAGGCACTGAGCTATTTCACTTGAGGTGTCTTATTCCCAATAGTCAAATTAACAGGGGACCTGTTAAGAAATCAAAGCTCAGAGATGGTAAGTAATCTGACCATCTCCATGTTGGGAATAGTGAATCAACCTACTCCATGTAACTCCAAAACTTATGCCCCCTTTCACCACACTGCTATTCCTTCTTAAGTCAAAACAAAATCATTACTAGTCAAATGTTGGCAGAGTGAAAAAATAGTGTTTTGGTGGGAAATGCTTTACTATTTCCTGCTGGAAATGTGGGAGGCTCTAATCTGTGAACTCCTGCAATTCTGTGACCCACTCACTCTGGAAAAGCTCTCCTACACCCTCACCCCAACAACCCAGCAACTAACATACAGCACTCAGTTTAGACAGCATTTTCACATGTATTGTCCCATCAAGCTTGTAAGCAGGGCAGTATTACTAACTTTGAAGACCAAGGGACTGGAGCTTAGAAACAAATAAGCCTGTCACCCAGCCTGTGAAAGGGGCATCTCATGATTCACACACAGGTTCACTGCCCCCAAGACTTGTGTTCTTCCCACTTAGCCCCAGTGCCTCCTCCACAGATACCCTCCTGCCTCACTCTTTGTTCTTCTGAGGAATGGGTAGTTGCCTGGAGCCTAGGTCTCTGCTTTTGTTCAAGGCCCCACCCTAGCAAAACTGTCTTTCCCCCCAGCCCTGCCTCTCTGGACTCAGTCTCCTCTACAACTTTGTTTTCTATCTTGCTTCTCCCCACCCTATGTCATCTCCTCTGATTCCACTTTAAGCATTGTATCTTGAGTCAGAATAGGATCAGGAAAGCCCTGCTTCTGTAACTTTCTCTCCAAGCACTAACTACTGTTCACAAACACTTGGTTTTCATAATAAACTTGTTTTCTCAGGTGTACACTAAACTGGTGTTTTAAAAAACATTATCACAAAGCCTCATGAAAATGCTGCAATGTGCTATTTCTCATCCTTCACAGGTGAAGTGGCCCAGACACAGAGACCTTAACTTACCTGAGGTTAGAGTCAGGAAGCAGCAAATAGGGATTCATACCCAGGAGTCACACCCAGCACCTGTGTTCTTATCCAGACATCACACAAACCCCTGGGAGAACCATGACCACACTGGTTGTGAAGTGGGTGGGCTTTGCTCAAACATAGTGAAGAACTCACCGGAGGGAATGGTGTCAAGGCCATGTGCATGCTGCTCTAGACTAGCGTGGGAGCCTCTGTGCCAAGTCTCATCTCCTGGGCCCCTGCCTGTCTCCTTCATGCCCACTGTGCTGCCAGCTCCCACATGCCTTCAGTGCCAGTTTCCCCTTGGGTGGCTGCTGGCCCAATGTCTTCCATTTTCACTGACAATGTATTTCAGGTATTTTTAATATTATAGAGGAAAAACTTTGGAAGATCATTCCCCAGCCACTGCGGTGTAACGGGTCCTTGTGAATTGGAGGCCACTAAGGGCGGGGCCTGGTAACACGAGCAGTGAAGTTTCTGTTTGTACCTCGGCTCTGCTCTTGTCAATCAGATTCATCAAGACTAGAAGCAGAACCGTGGTCATGAAAGAAAGGCTTTAAAAGAGGTAAGTGTGGGCACTGCTGGAAGCCAGTTATGACTGTGCCCTTCCTATGAAGTCACTGCCAAGCCTTTCTTCACATACCTTATTTCACATAGTCCTGACCAGGTAGGTAAGTTATCCCCACACACATGAAGCAGTTGAGTTTGGGGCAGTTTGTCCTTTGCCCAAGGTCACACAGAATGACAGATCTAGGATCCAAAGCCAGGTATGCAAAGCCTTCATTCTCAACCATTACCCTATATTGCACTGTACACTATATATTCAAAATGTAATAAAAATCTAGTCCAGGTGTACCTTAGATTTGGGGTTAAGAAGCAGAGCTTCCCTGAGGGGCAGGTTTGACCTCAATGACTGAGTGAATAGGTTTTAAGCAAACTGAGTAAAACACAGCAAAATATTCTGGGGCCAAAAAGAAGGCTTCCAAGGCCCAGTGCCAAAGAAATCTAGGAACGAAAAGGTAAAGCAAGGTAACTACAGAATGGCCTGCAGTCCAGGGACGGCTTGGCACAAACTAGAGGGGTCTTCCTCACCCATGGAGCCGGGAACCAGCATCAGGAGCAAGAGGTGTGAGTGGCTAGAGTGGAACTGCAGAGGTCTGGCTCATAGTGGGGAGTGGCTGTGGGCGGGAGCAAAACCTGAGATCAGTGCCATATTGGTGTGGAGGGGCTGAGAATTCCAGGCAGCCAGATTGTGTCTCAGGGCTGATGTCTGATTCACTGAATCCAGCATCTCTTCCAAACAGGGCAGCATGTTGGCTCCAGAGGCTATAATGCAGCCAAGTCTTCTGAGGAAGAAGACAATGGAGGGGTTACAAATGAGCAAGTACAGCCCATCTGCATTCCCAGGCAAATCTGGCCAGCAACCAAAATGATCTTCAAAGATTTTGGTGGCTGACTAAAGGGTTTTCTTCTTTTGGGGGTCCACTGCCTGACTCTTCCTATTAGTGATTGACAAAACCCTTAAACATGCAGGAGCAGAGTATTTGTTTGGGGACTGGGAGAGAAGCCAGAGAAACTTACGCCTTTTTCTGCTCCCCAACCCTGGGTGTGTTCCAGATACCAGTTCAGACTATGGTAATTCCTACAGGAAGCCCACTATGAATGCCCAAGCTTCTCCTCTGTGTACCCGATAATGCTGTTGCCTGCTTGTCATCCAAACAGAACTGACAGCACATGCATGGGGACTAGCACAGGTCTGGAACAGAAATGCTCCAGGGCACTCCACAAATGAATCCATCTTCTATTTTCTGAATGCCCCTCTGTCTTGAAACAATCTTAACACACACATAACTGAAACCCATTGAAGGGCATGGAATAAAACTGAACTGAGGGGGCCTGATTTGACTGCCAGTGTCTCAGTGTGAGGTTGCTGACAGCTTCTCTGAGCCTTCTCTTTGGCCCCAGAATATTTTGCTGTGTTTTATCCAGTTTGCTTAAAACCTATTCACTCAGTCATTGAGGACTCCATTCAGCTGTCCTCACCCCTTACAGTGTAAGGAGAGCTCATACCTGAAAGCTTCTCACTGCAGCCCTGGGCTGGTATAGAAAGTGGTAAACTCTGGCTCTCCAGGCAGAAGACATCAGACTCTTCCCATTTCCCTCTCTCTAGAGCAGGTTTAGGTACCAAGGCTCTTCTGCCCCCAACTCAATATGGGTTTCTCCAGGGTATTTTTCTGGTTCCTCCCTATGCTTTTCTACAGAGGAATCGCTGAAATGTTTAAAAAATCACTGAAATCAAGTTTCTGAATAATTCACATAATAAATGTAACCACCACCACCACGACAACCATTTATTAAGTGCTTGCCAGGCACTGTGCTAAAGCTTTACAAACAGTGTTTCAGTTAATCCAACAACCCTGAGGTAGATATTTTCAACCCTCCTTCCCCCTGACACATATAGAGTTGAGGAAACTGTGGCTCAGAGAGGTTAAGTCAATCAACAAGATCAAACCCAACTAGTAAGTAGCAAAGCTAGAAATCTGAATCAAAGACATCTGACTCCAAAACCCATGCTTTTAAAATACTATGCTGGATTCTCACTGGAAGTTAAAGGATACAAACTATTGTATCCTTCCCAAAGGATCCTAAAGGATCCTTCCCAAAATATTACCTGAAGGCGCAGATTACAGGTGGGGAAGGTGAAACCGTTAAGACTTCTTTAATCAGCTGTTGTACTTAAACACTGGAAGAAGTGAGGCCAAGTCGAGGTATAAGCTGACCACTGGGTCCCTCTCCCTTTCCAACCCAAATTCTAGGTCCTTTCTAAGACTTCCACTCCTGACCTGACTATTCAATATTCTGTTTCCCTTCCAGCAATTGCTGAAACAGGGGTCAGCCAAACTTGGTGATTTGGAGCATCATCAGAGGACCTGAGAGAAATTAGGAGGCATTCATAAAATGCCTACCTGACCTGAAGTGTTGGACCTTAAAGGCACACAGACGCATTTAGATGGAAACACAAACTTGTTTTTCCACCCTGGCTTGCCTGGCCCCACTCCTAGAAGTTTCCTGCCCAATTCCCCTTTACTGGTTCTCCACTGTCCACAACTTTCTAGGTACCCACCCTTCACCCATCTCTGGAGGCCTCATGAGTCATAGGCTCCTGGGTCTCAAGGCTACCAGTGTCTAAGGCTTTGTGCCCCCAGAAATGCATCAAAAGTGATCAGCAGGGTTCCACTGAGGATCCCAAGATGTATGAGGTTTAAACAGGGTTGGCTGAAAACTAGCGGAAAGGGCCTCCAGTATTAGAAAAACCAAACCAGGATGAACAGAATTGACAAAAGAATGGCAAGACAACAGAGCACAGAACTGGATTAACCTTGGTAGACACACATTCTATCCCAAGTCAGAAAAGGATGTCTCAAAAATAAACAGGGATGACCCCAGGGAGAGAGAGCCTGAAGAAAGTCTATCCAAACACTTGCAGCTACAGAGCTTCTAAGGAAAGGGCAACTGTTTAGGAAAAAGGCCCTTGGTGAAGGGCTACTGGAGTGTGTGCAGGGGGAGGCCGAGCAGAGGCAATGGGGGAGCTCTGGAAAGGGAAACTGAAGCATCTCTTTAGAGCAGGCAATTTGGGGAAGATATCGAGAAGTAGGCAGGGACTGGAGGACAGCACTGGAGGGCCCAGAGAAAGGGAAAGGACATGGTCTGAAAGGCCAGGGCCTCTGGAACCCCACAAGCCACTTCTAGGTGCATCCCAGTATCCACCCTGTTTGGTGGAACTGGTCAGAGGGATACTCCTTGCAGTCCTACTGAACTCTGCCCCAGGTGTTCTGAAGGCTAGAAAACCCAGAGGTAGGGAAATTCACCAAGGAGAGACACACCTCTGTGAGCAGCTCATATTCTGAGAGGAGGCAAAGTATCACCACACCGCCACCCCAGCCCCCAATCCTTGAGGGAGCCTCTGATCTAAGGAACCCACCACATACAAGTCACCAAACTGAGGAACCAACACCAACAGGTATAAATACTATCTTTGAGGTCTGAAGAGGAGAGATGAGAGGTGAGTTAACACAGAGATGGGACAATCCAAGTTGGGATTCTCCACACCTTTAAGATTCAGCCTGTTAGTTAATCTCATCACCTGCTCACACATCTGGGCAGGGGCCTGTGTCCTCCACATAACAGGTGCACTGACATGGGGGAAAATAAACGTTGCTGGAAGGCCGAGAGTGAAGAGTCCTTCCCTGGGGAGCCCAGGGGCCTGGAGGAGCCTGGAAGTTGAGCTTTGCCCCACTGATCTTCCTCAACGGTCTCTAGTTCTGTCCTCAGATTACACACACCTTCGCAACCTGGTTTGGTTTCCTCTGTAACAACGCACAGGTTCCTGGAGGGTAAAGACTAGGTTTTCTCCACACCCTGTAGTGTTGGAATGTAACAAATACTTACAAATTGTTACAGGTGCGGTATCTTAAGTGATTACAAAAATTCTTCCACAAACAGTAAACACATCAAACTATTCTGTGCCCTATCGCTTGTACTTGACACCCATCTCTCTCCCTTGGCTCATGCCTGTAGATACTGTACCCACCTCAGGCTAGGAACTGCACCCACCTAACCTTTGTTAAAAAATACCAGCTAAGCCCATGGGAACAATGAAAGGGTACTGGTCCAAGAGTCTCTGTGCAGGGCCAGAGGGAGGGTCTTCCCTCACCAGGCTGGTGCATTGATAAGGATCCTTCCCCTCTCTGTCGCCTAACAGATTCAGATTAATGACCGCTCATTCCTAATTGTCAAATTTCTTTTCCTTCATCCTGTGTCTAATCACCAGTGACAGAAACCATTACGCAAATGAGAGCAGACGACTTCCCCCAACTGTTCACGTTGGTAAAAACCTTGTAATTTAGAGCTCTGATTTGTAGGGGAAGCTGGTCTCCCCCAGGCATCCTGGGCATCTGCTCAACTGATGCCCAGAAGAGCCCCTCCTCCATCCCCCAAAGTTCAACCCCCCAACAAATATTTGACTTCACAAAAAAGGGATTTCCTCTGTACCTGCTGGTGTCAAAATGGTATTTTGTAATATGGCTAACCTCTACAGAGACCCAAAATCCCACCTTCCCTTGGTGTGTCTGCCACCACACTGCCTGTTAGGAAAGGGGTAAGCAAAAGATCATAAAGTTTCCTCCGCCATGCAGAGTCTGAGCATGAACAGCTCTAACCTAGGTAAGCTAAGGGAAGTGGCTCAATCTCTTCTTTGGGAGAAAAGGAGGCAGAACACGAGTTGAGGTTCTAAGTGATCATCTAGGCCTAGATCTTCAATTCTAGAGATTCAAGTGTGCTGGGAGAAGTTATAGGACCCATTTAACACAAGAGTAATGCAATGGGATCTAGAACTGTTTCCCCGCAGCTCTTTTCAGCCATCTTAACTCTGAATATGGCTCCTGGCAATTTTCTCAAGATTTCTTTAGTTGGAGCCCAGAAGAGCTTTCACCTGAGCTGTATCTTCTGCACCCTCCTGGGCTAAGTTTGCCTGCACCAGACATTGCCCAGTGGGGTGAGATGAGGATGGCCTGTAGTACAAGGGAGAAGGTAAGGGAGGAGAATCAACATAGTTTGGTGGGAAAGGAACAACAGGAGGGTTGCAACCAAGCAGCACAACGTTAGAATCCTGTCTGCCTCTAATCCATTAAACCTCTCTGAGTCCATTTCTTCAGCTGTAAAATGAGAATACCTACCTTGCAGGGTAGTAAGGAGCAAAGATAAAAGCAATAGGCACATATATTAGGTGTCTCATAATCAGGGGTCACTATTACATTACCCAAGGATCAGGACCAATTCTTTGAAAGTCCCTCCCCCTCAGTCACCCTAGGTCTGACCTATGTCAGCACAGCACCCAGCAAAGACCAGCTGAGTGGCACATGCCTCCCTGTCGCACAACACCCACAGGTTTGAGGACTGAATGGGGAATGCAGCAGACCTGCTGAGAATGAAAATAATCTGCTATCTTCCGAAGTGTGATTGCTATCAGCAGTCTGCCTTGTTTTCTTTGCGGTGCTCCTCTTTCCCAAAAGGGGTGGAGGGATGGAGATTACTGCAATCACATTTTCCAGCATTGGCTATATTTGAAAGATCTACACTTGAGAAGGTACCATGTTTGCACACCCACACTGCATCAGAGAACCCCAGAATAGGGTAAACAAACACCCCTCCCGACAACACACACAGGTGCACATACACATCTCCCCAGTCCATCAGTGCGCTTAACTGTAAACTGAGCTTCGGGGGTTAAGAGCCATACCTCAGACACTGGAAGTAAACCTTTGGCCAAAAAAAAAAAAATTAGAGACTTCTAACTCCTTTTTCCATCCAGAGAGAAGGGGCATGGAGACGGGAGTGGAGGTGAGAAGACACAGGGCCACCACACTACCCAATTCCAGGGGCCCTTCCACTGAACAAATGTAACAGCCCTTCAAGTTGTGCAGTGCACAGCTGCCCAGCTGTAAGCTGCAGCCCTGAGAGGGTTTCCCATGAGTAGCTATGAACAAAAAAGCAAATTCCTCTTCCACGCTCCATCAGTTGTCCTGACTTTTGAGGGTGGTTGTGGAATATTACAGTGGGGTCTGGTAGAGGCGCTGGCTTTAGGAGGCAAGGATACATTTTTGCCCTTGCCCTGAGGTGGATGGCAGGTGGTGAGTTAGCTGCCTAAGCTTGACCCCATTTCATCTACTCAGCCAGGAAATTCTGTAGAAGTAGAGGATGTGGCCTGGGCAGGGAGAGTCATAGGACCTGGAGGCTCTAGCCAGTCAGCCTCAGGCAGATGGCAGGGAGACCTGTTACCCAGTAGCTAAAATGGAGTTTAAAAGCTTCAGGGAAGGTCAGGCAGTACTTCCCTGGGGCTCCCACTGTTATGTCCCACTGGACAAGGTCAAGCAGTAAAGAAACTTAAGTAGAGAGGCAGGCCAGTGTGGACACATACACACGTATGCACACACACAATCACAGGAGCTTGTACCCCTAGAACCTAGGAGAGCCACTGCTAGGACTCACCTTAGTACCCAGCACAGGGAGCAAGAGCTGGTGATGAAAGAGAGAAGCTGTGTCTGTAATTTGGAACTTCTGCACAACCCTTGGTTTGTATGTCCCAAGGCTCCTTTCTGTATATGGCTTGAGCTTGCAGGTCCAAGTTGGAACCCTGTTTAACGCTCTCTCACAGGAAGGCTATCTGAGCTCTAAAAGGCAAACCTCCCTCTCACTCCTCATACTGGAGTCCCAGTAGCCATTCCCCCCTAGAGCCTAACTCTGTGAAAACTGGGAGGAAGCAGACTGACCTAATGGTCAGTGTAGCTCTGGCCCTGCAGCCCAGATAGAATGGGCATCCAAGAGCATCTCCCCTCTCTCAGGCTGAGGCACTGAGGGTGCAGGAGACAGGACTGGGAGCCAGGCACGGCATCCTGACCCAGGAAGAGGGAGCAAGGAACTGGTACATATATGCATGTGCCTGAACACACACGCACACACATCCCGAGGCTGACAGACTTGACACACACAGACGTGATGACAACCAGAAGCTGGGACTCCACACACTGAATGCAGGACTTTAGGGAGGGCAGGGGAGGAAGGTGCTGGGGCACAGAGGCAAGGGGAAGAAGTCCCTCCAAATGGGAGCAGAGTGCCAACCATTGTGCCTTGCCCCAAACACCTGCCTCCAGGGCCATGGCAAGAGTCCAGTCCATTAAGTGCAGCGTGCAGTACTAGCGCTTGGAGTCTCCTGTCCTCATCAATGAAGCGGTGTGGACGGGCTAGCAGTCGCCTGGCAGGAGGCCTCGACTCCTGGCAGGCTAGTTGTATCGGCCCTTGATCATTGTGTTCAACAAGGGCCCCACCTGTGAAGAGACATGAGGAGCCGGTCAGAAGTGCCTATCCCTTAACCCTGGAGCCAGACATCTTATGTGTGGAGACATTCAATGTCCAGCCGAGGGAGGGAACAAGGCTTTCATTCAATCTTGTAAACCCTCTGGCCATCTCCCTTCCTGGAGGTCAACCTGAATTCTGGGGTATGGCCTCTCCTCTGGGTCCATCTTCTATTATCTTCCCTCTTACAGTACCCTCTACTACAAGCAACACCAGAGAGGTCGGGAGAGCTAAAAATCCCCTAACACCCCAGAGTCTCTGTATGTTTCCTAAATGTGCCTGAAGAATGTTAAATACCTCCATATCCTGAAAAGGTCACCTGTAACTGGGGCTGGTGCCATCTCCCAATCCCACTAGTCCTTTGGATATTGAAGCTATCCACAGGAAGGAGGCAAGAGTATTACAAATACAAATCCCCCTGTGTACCCAATGAGCCACTGGCACACCTGACCAGAAGCAGATCTCAACATTACCTAGAGTGGCCTTAGCACAGCTGGGAGAGTGTGAGGAGATGCTTTACTGCTCACTTCCCACTCCAGAATCCCCTTAGGGGTCCCCAGCTGGCACACAAGCCCCACGGGGAACATTACCACTAGCATGGAACAGACTATATAAGTGATCTGCCAGTTAAGCCCAGCTCTCACCAGAAAACAAGGATTTTCTGAACATACCCATAACCTCTTTGGAAAGAGAGGACACTAGATACTGAAACAGGAGGAATGGAAAATGTGACACCGATCCTGCCTCTCCAAGGTCACTATGCCGGTTGAGCAATAGGAGTGCCATCTTGGGGCAGCCACATACCTCTTGTGGGTTCCCCAAGGCCTCTCCAAGCATCTTCTCAATGTTTCTCATTATGGCCACTTTCTGATGGGCTTTAAGAGGATATTCAATTCTCTTTGGGGTAGGGGCCCCCTGCAAAGGAAGCAGCAGCTCAGGAAATGCCTTTAGTAGCAGGCTTTTGTCACCCACTGTTCCTAGCACCATCCTCTCTTCTAAGAAACCCAGTTCAATCCCACCCCTCTTCATCTTCCCAGAGACCTGAGAATCACTTCCAGACATAGACCACTCCCAACTCTGCCCCCAAATAATTTATTACATCTACCACCCAAGTTCCATCTAGGGGAAAAAAACCCACATTCACCTTATACCAGAAGTTCACAGTGATGGTAATCCCCCCATTTAGTAATGACTCTATGTGATGCCACCTGCAAGAAAACAAACAGCTCCTGTTTGCCACCAATACTTTCTAAAGAGAGGAATGGAAAAAAAAGGTAAAGTCCAGCTAAGGTAAATAACCAAGACAGTATGTTTACCCTCATCCTTTCAAACACACCCCGGGACTGGAGGCAGTAGTGTTCAGTCTCCAAATACCAAAGAGCCCAGAACAGTTTTCCTAGCCTCAAGCCTCTGTGATCTCTCTGGACTTAAGAAACTTTCATCTTGTCCTAGAGATAGGGATGTCATTTCCCACATGTTCAGTGTGCTCACATCTGGACACACCAACCTTTCTGTAGATCACATAAGACCAATCCTGCCACAACTCGGAAGGGACACAGGTAAGGCTTCCCAGGAATGGGAAAGAAAGCTCCCAAGACTTCTTTTGGACTTTGGACCTCTCCTCACCAGTACATTGGGATGTAAAGAACATCACCAGGGCCAACCACTGTTTCGTAACCAACCACGTTCTGGAAATTAGGGAACCTCTCGTAGTCAGGATTGTCAAAGTCCACCTGAGAGGTTCAAGAGACAGAAAAAAAAAATCAGTTAATCACCAAATCTTTATCAGTAGCTTCTATGTACCAGTTACTTTGATAGTCAAAAAAAAGATGGCTTACAAAAAAAGTCCTTAGAATTTATGTCTACTGGAAGATGGCACAACACACATTAAACATACACACTCTCTCAGAGAACAATGTAAGACAGGCCATGCTTGAATGTTAAGTGATAAAGAAAGCTAGGCCTCAGTGTTCCTGAGGTCAGAAGCCAATCATCATAGTTTGCAGGCCAGAACACCTGCTCGTGGCCTACAGATTATGAAGAATTACAACTCATCCTTCACCCAAACCTTCAGAAACTTTTTCTCCCACACATATATTCTAACCAGCAAAGACTCCTACAGGAGGTGACTAGGCAGCTCTCTCCCCAAGAAAAGAGAGCACCTCTCTGGTTGGCTACCAAGTCAACCATATATATCACTTAGGTCCAGGAAAAAACATTAAGTGATATATTTATTTGCCCTTCCTATCAGAAAGAAGAGGCACCCACGACAAAAGAAAACAATTATTAAATCCAATGGAGACATACACACTTAGTTCCATGAACCTGTAATCCAATCAAACAGGGTAACCAGAGTCTTCCAGCAACAGACATGGGGTCCGTCCTCCAGAATTAGCTCTGTGGGGTTGCTTATAAACATCTGGGGACCACTACATGAATCTGGAATATGTAAGCTACGCTGTTAACTTATCCTCTGAGTTTGTTCAAACCTGGCATACCACCACAGCGGAGGGAAAAAGACAAGCCAACCTTGGATCCCAAAGGAATTATATACCCTCCTAAGGCCACACAAGCTCACCTGGCTCTGTCTGTCACATGGATGATGAACAGGATATGGGTAGAGGCACTCAAACTGATCCGGAGGGAATAAAATGCATCGCTTGTAGCCTTTTATCTGGGCAAAGAAGTTCTGCTGCTCATCATAGTGAGCAGGTGTCACATTTCCTGTAGGAAGAAAGATATTTCCTTAAACAGAGGAGGGGCTCTATTGTACAGGCTAGATCATATGGCCCAGTGCTGGAAAAACCCGGCCTGCCCTCTCAGCTATGGGTTCCAATTCAAAATTTCAGGCAGAATCAGGGTGACTACAATTACAACTTTCAGCAAATTAGGTGTTACCCTTTTAATGGGTAGTAAGTCTATCAACCATCACTGGCTAAGGATTCACCATCAAACGACAAAGTAGACTTTCTTAAATAATGGCTGCCACCTTTACTGGAAGCAATAGCATATCAAAATGCTCCAAGTCTGGCAAATGTAATATACTATATACAGCTGTACTAGTCTTGACTCTGCCAAGAATTCAAGGGCAGCAAGACAAGAGTTAGAAACAACTGTAATGACTGGTATCAATAATGTATGGATAAACTTTGGCAGAGTTCACCAGGCAGTCATTTTAAGTTGTATGAAAGTGTATTTGCTTTGGGTAGCTCTTCAGGTGCTCAGATTCTCAACCTTTGCTCCCACTTCAACACACTTGTGGGATGCAACACTTCTTAGAGCAACACTGATGCTGTTCATTCTCATGGAGGTAGGGAGAGCATATCAGATAACAGAAGAGTGTTATGTAATTTGAATGAAGCAAATTATTTAAAATGCTATCTTGAATTACTTCTGTCCTGTGTATGTATGCTCCATCTACTCTTTAAAATAACTGGGGCCAGGCTGTGTTTATCCTTTGCATAATCCTTGAGAACTGAAGGGCCCTCTGCAGGGCATGGAATTCAGAAAACATTTGCCAGGTCTGCCAGGGTGGGCTGAGACAGCTGCCTTCTTAAGTGCTGAGAGTCCATGTGCATTGTCAAAGGAGACTTGCTTTCTCATTTCTGCCCAAGGCATCTGCTTCCCTGTACTCTACTACAGGATAGGAAGACAACAGAAAAAGTCAAGTAACCAGAACTGGCTCTTGGCAGGTCAACCAAGAGTTGATTTCAAAGGGCAGGTTAAGGGTCAATCCATAAGCTACATTGTAGCAAACCTTTATTAATGCTGGCAGCAAAATATCCCAGTCTGAAGAAAGGACAATCGAAGGAGAAGAGACTTCAGAACCCAATAATGAATGACAATTAATAATTACTCGGCTTCCTCGCTCAACCCAATTTATTTAGCTACTATGGGCCTGGCACTGAGCTAGTGCTGGAAGTAAAAATAAGAATGGACAATGAGGGGGACATGGTGAGGGGGGGAGCCTAGTAAACATAATGTCCTTCATGTAATTGTAGATTAGTGAT